ATCTCGGTTCCGTAGGCGGCGCCACCGTAGCCGTCATATCTGAAACAGCACAATCGGGAAATATATTACAAGACATCGGAAGCAGGATAGGAGACAACATCATACTCTGGGGTTGGTCTGCGTAATGCTTCCATGGGCTTCCAGCATATGAAGGCATTACACAGATCAAGTGAGAGTGTGTTGATCACTTATAGGTGTCTCAAAGCCTTCTTATGGTCTTTCTATGACAGCGTGTTTGTTCACTTGCCCCTCAATAGCAAACACTACTCATAGCGCATTGTTTAAAATCAGTAGCTAGTGGTACCGTGTAAAACATTGAGCAGTTGTTAAATATTTGTTGGTTGTGCGTGTGCGTCTGGTCGGAGGTTGGTCAGCGTCGACTGAGTAGGTTTGTTGGGGCTGGTTGCTGAATGACTGTTGGAGCTGGCTGCTGCCGAACACCCTGCTAGAGCTGAACTCCGGCTGGCTGACTCTGATTCCGAAGTCTTTGTCAAGACTCACGTCTGCACTCGGGTGTAACTGTGGGCGTCTCCGTAGCCGCTGGCGGCTGCCACGGCCACGACTGCGGCGAGCACGACAAGCTGAAACAGCATCCGAGCGTCAGACGGCGCCAGACCACCGTCAGATGGGGCACGGCCACACGCTGGACAAGCCACTCTATGCCTCAGCACCACATCCCGAGATTGTATGTTGTTAGTATCGAGATACTTAACGCGAATACCCGAAAACTTCAGATGCCTGTCCGTGTAAGAGCGCAGACAGAGCCGTCCAGCTACTGCTTGTCGCTCTGCCATACTGGCACAGCTTTACTGCTTGCCGTGTTGGTGGCAGAGCCTCACTACTGTGCCCGCTTCACCGACTGCGCGCCGGCCGACCCACCTTCATCATGGTGTGGTTGGGTGGCCGAGGCTGACTGTCTGCACTGACGGCCGTCGACCGATATATACCTCCGCTCTCCTGGACGGGTGGGCGGGGCCTGGTGGCGCCCGATCGGCTCGGGGAGGGGGGGGGGGGCTCATTACCACCACTGCTGCTGTTGACTGGCGTGGCCTGGTACGACCTCCGAGGGGGAGGGGCTACCGGCTGCTGCTGTGTTAGAGCTGAATATTGGCTTTGTTTGCGTCGTTGCGAAAGGGCCGTGTCCGTGCCGACATGCCATGGGTGATTCAAAACTTGTTGAGCGAAGCCAGCACACCAGAGCATAACTACGTCTCAACATATCGCGGCTAATGCCGGCTCTTTCCAGCTGGCATCTTACAGTTCATATTCACCTTGCGTGGAAAGTGGGCATCGGCCATGGCCTCCGGGCCTGCTCCAGATGCCTATTTGAAGAATGTTCTTCGGCAGCCGACCGAAGGCCCAAAATAGACGTAATGTATCTGATGCTCAGTCTTCATCAGTTTCAGAAACACAAGCGCAGCCATTTGCGTCTCCGAAAATGATTAAGACCGGAAGCTGCATCAATTTCGCATTTTCTGATTAATGGAGACCCAACCGTCCATCCCTGGTAATGGCTTAACATGCCCCACATTAGCCGGTTGTATACCCTTCTTTCGGTTGGGGGTCAATCTGCTCGTTGATATCTCAAGCTAAAGCTAGAGCCGGAGACACTAAATTCACAGAGTGAGCTCGTCTGTATGTTCACTCACTTGCGCCAAACTGTCTATATGTCATGATTCTCGGGCATAAGAGACAAAACTCAAGATTGGTGACCAAAGTGCACCCAGCTCTCCTCACGCCACCGCCTTGAACCTGCATACCTGTTCTAAACACAGGGTTACTGGCTTTATTTTTAGGTTATTGACCTTGTTTAACCTTTAGAAGGCCATGGAGACTGAAAACCTATACGATTGGTTTTATTTTTCAATTTGCATAAGTGATAATGATTAGGTTGGGCGGAATATTCCTCAGAAACACGGGGACGATGTGGGCCATTTCGGGTCAATGACCTACACCGACCTCTTAGAAGTCCTTGGATGATGTCTGTTGCTGTCCCTGTTATCGAAGTATTCGAAACGCGCATCAAAAGCTGCCCGCTAAACCCCGTTGTCGCATCGCATTGAACGAGTGCCTGAAGATGACTCTCGCTAACAGCTAAGGCCTGACATGGACACTCGTGCAAAGGCAGCGACCTTGCACGGCACACCTGTTACACAAAGGAATCTGTGAGTCAACTTCCTGCAACTTCGCAAAGTTTAGGGGGATTATTACTGTGGTGACATAGTCTAAGATACCTAGGGTCTCTGCAGTTCTTGGCCAGGAAGTCTCTGGATGGTGGCGGCTATCTTTTTGGATAGTCATCATTCAAAACACATTACGTCTGCGCATGTTATTATTCCTGTTGTGATGCCTGACAGGGACCGAACCTGCTTCAGGGCCGCTAACAGATGTGTCTGAAGCATTGCGCTGACTGCATGCATTGCATTGCATTGCATGAATCCTCATGGGAGTTTGCTCTTTCAGGTGTTTATGAATCTTACTATGGAGTAGTGATGCATCGGCATTACAACGCAACGTGCTAAGATTGCCACACAAGATGGTCACACATTCTCGGAACAAGAAAGACTGAGAGAAGAGCACAAGAGAGAATGCAAAACGCCTGCTTTCTAGGCAACACCGACTCCCATGCCTGTTGCTGTGGGGATGTAACCGCATGCCTCAGCCCGGCCTGCATGCCCTCATCAGCGGCCCCGACCCGGCCTGCATGCCCTCATCAGCGGCCACGACCCGGCCTGCATGCCCTCATCAGCGGCCACGATCCGGCCTGCATGCCCTCATCAGCGGCCACGGCCCGGCCTGCATGCCCTCATCAGCGGCCACGACCCGGCCTGCATGTCCTCATCAGCGGCCACAGCCCGGCCTGCATGTCCTCATCAGCGGCCACGACCCGGCCTGCATGTACTCATCAGCTGCCACGACCCGGCCTGCATGTCCTCATCAGCGGCCACAGCCCGGCCTGCATGTCCTCATCAGTGGCCACGGCCCGGCCTGCGTGCCCTCATCAGCGGCCACGACCCGACCTGCATGCCCTTATCAGCAGCCACGACCCGGCCTGCATGCCCTCATCAGCGGCCACGGCCCGGCCTGCATGTCCTCATCAACGGCCACGGCCCGGCCGGGCATCAGCGGCCACAGCTCAGTCTGCATGTCCTCATCAGCGACCACAGCCCGGCCTGCATGTCCTCATCAGCGGCCACAGCCCGGCCTGCATGTCCTCATCAGCGACCACAGCCCGGCCTGCATGCTCTCATCGGCGGCCACGGCCCGGCCAGGCATCAGCGATCACAGCCCAGTCTGCATGTCCTCATCAGCGACCACAGCCCGGCCTGCATGCTCTCATTGGCGGCCACGGCCCGGTGGCCACACGTGGCTAATCACCCGCTCGTTGGACTGTGCAGGTACAGCTGGCGCAGTCTGCGTGCCGACCGATCGACGATTGATCGCCTAATGTGACGCCACAGAGCTACGAGCCTGCAATACAGCTGTTGAATGGTGATTAACCCCAGCAACCAAGCTTTCGCCACGCTCGCCACAGTTTGCGAAAGCCTGTCGCCTTTTTCGGTGGTCAATTTAACGTTGCGCTCTTGGAGTTTTCCCACAGCGTTGTGTTTCACCTGTCACACTCGTTTTCTTGCTTGTCGAACGTCATTTCTGACGTCAGGCTGAAACTGTCAGCTTTGCAGTCTGGAGTTTTCAAATAAGGCGCAGGGGTTAAATGAAAACGTGGCACCGCCAGTCAAGTTTAGTTCGCCCTAACCACCACGCACACTAGCATAATCTGTGTTGTTTGAACATTCCAACTATATAAAAACTCTAACCTGACATTTGTTTGCTCCGGCAAACAACTGTCGCAGTCTGTTGAAGACCAGAAGTGTCCTAATTCGCAGATAGAATTCCGCGCAATATATCGACAGTCTGGCGGAATTGTTGCGTACGCACGGTTGCCTTCGTCTGAGCACATGTTGAACCGGCGGGAACGAACCGAACCAAACTAAGTGGCTCTGACGCTCGCTGCTGCGCGCCTGACTCTGAACTTGGACTGATCTCGAGGCGCCCAAGGCACGTCCTGGCAGCGCCCAGCTGCCTTGCGTCCGCCTCACTTACGCGTTCAGTCTTTGGTCAATTGCATTTTTGGAACGTTCGCTGAATAATTCTGCCTCTGTAGAAGAAACGATTTAAAACGCCGTGGTTTGATTTGCATAAACGAAATCTAATGCACATCATTGGACGGGCCGAAAGATCAGGTTTGCCCAAATCATACAGGTGTTGCTGTTTTGTGAGTCTATGTGAATTCTGGAGTGATTTTGAACAAGAACAGTGGGGAGCTGAAGCGAACACAGGGGAGGGGCAAGGGTTGGGATGCAAAATTTCATCGACATTTCTTAGAGCATCACCTATCATGCATAACAAACAGGCGACCAGCTAATTTGCAGCCAAAGGAACAAATCTTCGGTCGTCTTATTTAGGCTCACACAAGGAACGCATATTCCACCACAGCATTAGACGTCTGAAGTGAACCGACAACTTTAATGCTGTTTCCCGGATACACCGCGGAAAGCAGAATGTGTTGTTCCGCGCGTTCCCCGCGGCACGGCCGGAGCTTTGTGTGCGGATGTCATTGCGGCCAAACACGCCACGCTGCATGGCCGCACTGAACGCATGGGAACGCCACTGACTTGGGAACGTTCGAGGCGCCGGCTCCCTTGATACCGCGCCAGCCGAAACAGCTCGCCACGGCCGAAAAATGCGCGTGCAATGCCAACAGACGGCGATGAAGTCGTCGCTCACGACGCCGGCGTTAGCTGAACACGACGCCGGGATCATGCCAGCTGACCTCGTGATCTGTCCCTGCCAGTCACGCTCCGGGGGCGGCCAGGGTCACGTCCTGGACACGATCTGGACACGGTCTGGACGCGATCGGGGTCCTACCACGCCGCCGCGAGTCTGTCCAGACTCCTCCCGCCTGTGAGGTGTCCGACACACGTGTGAGGCAGGAAAAGTCGTCGCAGTTGCGTGCCTGTACCTGGATTATCAATGGATGCGTGCATTACAGTTGCCGATGTACGCCGCAGCTGCACGTGGCTTGACATCCTAATCTTACTGTGCGTCCTTCTCACCCTTCGGTACCGAAAAATAACGCCCTGCTGTTTGCACTAGAGAGGGTTAGCCGATAAGACCAGAGGGGGTTGGCATACAAGCCGATAAGACCAGAGGGGGTTGGCATACAAGCCGGGGTTGAGGATATTCCCGCGCCGCCACCATTATGAAAAATGACGGGCCTGATCCAAGCTCAGGCTGCAAACACATTAGAGCAACATCATACTCTGAGTGTGCATGCACGTCACCGGGCATAGTTTGTGATCACAGGCATCCGCCACGTACATCACCGCGCGCAGTTTGTGATCACGGGCAGCCGCCACGTACATCACCGCGCGCAGTTTGTGATCACAGGCAGCCGCCACGTACATCACCGCGCGCAGTTTGTGATCACAGGCAGCCGCCACGTACATCACCGCGTATAGTCTGTGACCGCGAGCAGCCGCCATGTACGTCACCGCGCATAGTCTGTGACCGCGAGCAGCCGCCATGTACATCACCGCGCGTAGTTTGTGATCACGGGCAGCCGCCATGTACATCACCGCGCATACTCTGTGACCGCGAGCAGTCGCTATGTACGTCACCGCGCATAGTTTGTGATCACGGGCAGCCGCCATGCTGTGGAATTCCTCTAGGTTTACTGGACCCAAACGCTGCCAATTTGAGATTGGTCTTGACTACGCTTCAGATGTATTTTTTGAAAGCTTAGCACATTTTAAGAAAAAAAGTCGTCCTAATTTTGAATGATAAATTGGTCGCCATTTGACTCTGTAGTCCTGAATTCGGTTGGTACCGAGTAGAGGACAGTGTG